AGGGAGGGAGGGAGGGAGGGAGGAAGGAAGGGAGGGAGGGAGGGAGGAAGGGAGGGGGAAAGCAGGCAAAAGTAGAATTAAAGAAAACAGAAAGGAGTTGTCATTCTTATTTGGCCCCTCCTCTGCTGATAAAACTTCAGAAAAAAAAATCCAGTAGAAGTAGCTTTTACGATATTCCTTTGTAAGAAATGTGGTAACCATAAAATATTGAGCTTAGGCTGCTTCAATCCTTGTCAGATTAACATTCTGAATGCATTTAACCTGTAATTGAAACACATTTCTCACTAAATACCAATGACTTACAACTATAGTTTTAACTATAGTTTTATGCTTTTTCCAAAACCAGCTCAAATAGAAAAGTCAATAAGACTCCATCTTCAAAATAACCAGCCATGCAGAGACCCTCTCTTGAGAGTCTATTGCTCCCTTCATGCCCACATTATCCCAACAGGATCCTCAAACAACAGAAGGATGTCTGACCACATAGCTCAAGTAATAAACCACAGAATTACACATTGTAGCATATGTGCAAAATATACCATTTAGCTGTAAATAGTAATTTTAATAAGATCTGATTCACAGAACTGAGAAGGAAAGGGATCTAAATTTCAAGATGGTAAGATAGAAGTGAGTTTCCCAATAAATTTATTTTGAGTTATTCATATAAATCAAGACAAATTATATATACAGATATACATTATATGTATATATGTGTGTGTGTGTATATATATATATATATATATATATACATATATATTGCTTAAGACTAGTAGTGCTCTACCACTTGAACCACAGCTCCACTTTTGGCTTTTGGATGGTTAATTGGAGTTAAGGATCTCATGGAATTTCCTGTCTGGACTGGTTTGAACTTCAGTCCTCAGATATCAGTCTCCTGAGTATTTTAGGATTACAGACATGAGCCAGTAGTACCCAGCTTACCATATATAATTTTAACATATTTATTAAGACTAATGAAATCTCAAAGCCAATCCATTCAGGCCTATGGTTTATCTAAATACATTAGGGTTCGAAAGGAAGGAATATGTTGATATTTCTTATATATTTGACTGTATGTATACATTCTCCATGATTTTATTTATTCATGTGAAAACATAGATAT